TGGACGCAAAAATTTCACCACAAAATCACCTCTGGGCTTGCTGAAACAGCTGTGCTGAGCTGAACAACAACAGCAACATACAAGTGACGCTGAACACGTGACTTAGAAACAGCGTGGGACACTGTAGCGTGGGACGCTGTAGCGTGGGGTCACTGTGACGCCACTCACAATTCTCGGAGAATTTCGATAAATTTCGGCTGGATCCTGCTTGTACCTTGTGTCTTGATGCCAGGCCGCTGTGTGAGTGAGAGCGAGGCAAGTCTGGGCATACTGAAGTGGCAAGGCCTATAGATGGCAGCACCTGAGTGGCGCGAAATATGAACTAAGCTGGCAGACAGCATGGGCTGTCTGTGCAGACAGTACAGGCTGTCTACAAAGAGAGTAAATTGATGAGAATGTAGGAAGCAGACTATTTCAGTATTTCACGTTACAGGTTGTATCAAACCTAATAAGGAGAAAAAGACTAGAGTAATAAGGGCAAATAATTCAAAACCCAGCCGAGTATACAGTATATAGACAGTAAGAAACAATATTCAATTTTATTTGCGGATCCTTCGAGTTTTGATCCAAGAAAATTGTGAACTGTATAAATCTTTTCAAAGTCCTAGTCTAGAATATTGAAAGTGTTTATTTGGTCTCTATAATATACGACCCATCCTCATTTTACTACTTTTCTTATGAGGTATTCAACATCAATTTATAAGGCCTCCTGTAAATTTACATACAGTTCCATTTCCAGTTTGTCGGTTAGTTGCGAATGGTTTCAGCTACGTTACTGCTAGTTGTTTCTTCAAACGTTTGATGACCCCATGATTAGTGCCGGTACTGTGGTAGGCCCAGATGGGGGGGGGAGGCAAGACTGTGTCTGTGGGTACATGTGAAGGTGGGGTAGCCGTTGGTACAGCGTATCCTTATTTCGTTAAGGTAATTTTTACGCGATTCCCATTGTAAATTTCTGAACATTCCTGTAAATTTCCAAATAGTGTATTTTTCTGTCTTTATTTTAAGCTAGGCTATGTTAGTTTTGGACAAATGAGGTTAAGTTACATTTACCTGGAAACGGGTATCACAGAATTTGCCTTGGGGCCTTTTACTTATTTTTTTTAAATCGAGTACTGTGTTCAAATGATTAACATTGCATTATTGTAATACAGTGAACACATTTTTGTCCTCTAGGAATTATTAATAAATTTTATCATAAAATATAAGTTATTATTCTAAATGTTTCATTAACGCATATGAAGTTCATATTCTGCTGTTAAAGAGAATCGATGGACTTTCTTCATGCTATTCATGTTGGATAGAATGGTGAACACCTATAAACTTTTGAGTCACTACATATAATGCTCTAACTTTGTTTCTGCATATTGGTGATGATATTAATTTTGTTCGCACTTAATATGTTTAATATTACAACATTTATGATTTGATTGTAACTGATTAAAAAAAATAAGTTTCTGCAAGATCCATCAGTCAGTGCGTATAGGAAACAACGGGAGCAAATAGATATCCAGTGTTGAAGATTGGAAACTCCGTCACATTTCTGTCATTTGCATCCCTCCCATTCCCCACCCGAGTCTAAACAGATCATTAAATTGAAAAGCGTGAGGAAAGCTTGTATTCACAAATTACTGGCCACCTGACTTGTGCCTCCACCTGGGCAATCGACTTGCAACGGATTTGCTGGCGAGTCAAACACACCTTTGCATGGCTGCCTTTCTTGATGCCGTGTGTCTGCCACTACATCCGCCCCGCAAGGTGCCACTGACTTCCTTTATGTTATGTGTCTGGAGTTAGGACACCCAAGACATCACACGGCGCTCACAGGCCAAGACATCCTGTCATTAAACCATTCTTTTTTTTTTCATACGCGAAACGTTGTGATCTTATATGTCAGTAAGATGTAAATGAATGGGTGTTGTGGTACATATATTTCTCGATTTTGTTTTCGTAAGGCCTGCTAAAAATGCGAAGTTAGCTTCTTGTCAGGTATCACCTTAACTGACTTATTAGTTATCCCCACACACATAATACCTAACTGTATCATAAGTGTTTATTTTAACTTTTTTCCCGTTGATTTGAAACCAGCACTGCAGATTAATAAGTCATATTACCGTGGCTGGAACAGTTCACAAATAACTCTGGAGAGGAAACTCTTTAGTTATTTGTTAAACGAAACCTTGGCTTGTTTCCTCATAAAACGAAGCCTCTTCTTGAAATTGGGTGGTGCAGACACTGACGTTTTGGAACCCCTGGTTTAGGTCTTAGAGAGCAAAAAACAAATATATGAAATGGGACACAGGTATGTCTCTGGTTAAGGTTGGCCTATCTCTGATCACAGCACCAACAACGCAGTGTATTCTCACTTTACTACCGTAATTTTCTTAGCAGGTTCCCAGCTTCATTTTCTTAATGCTTGGTTTAAACGTACAAGTGCTATTTTGTTTATGGACCTGGTTGTGCATCGTATCTGGGACTGAGGCAACACGTCCGTATATGGTTATACATCATGTCCTGAACTGAGGCAGCACGAGAATATGGATATACATCGTGCTTGGACTGGGGCAATACGTCCGTATACGGTTGTACAACGTATCTGGAACTGAAACAACACTTCATGATATGCTTCTTGTCTCGAACTGAAGCAGCACGTCCGGTTATGGTTGTACATCATGTCCTGAACTGAGGCAGCAGGAGAATATGCATATACATCGTGCTGGCACTGGGGCAGAACGTTCGAATTTATTTTTCGTGCTTTTGCCTCCCGCTATGAAATATTAGCATTTATAAAAATATGAGAACGTGTTTTTACTGCATGTTTAGGCGTTTCGTGCTCAGTTCGCAGCATTGTTATTATTATTATTATTTTTTTTTTTTTAAGTTTGATGTATAATATACATATAAATAACATGAGTCCAGGACTGAGGTTGCAGATCTGGATATGGTTGTACATTATGAGATTGTAGAACCGGGCGGACTTTCACACACGCCTATAGGACAAAAACCACTCCCCTAATTAAAACCACTCCAGAGTGGTCAAACCACTTAACCTTTCTTACCTTTTCTTCCTACCTATCCACCTTTCTTACACTAGTCTACCCCAGTCCTTCCCGCTCCCCATTCTTGCCATCCCTCTTATGGCCTAACAAAAAAAAATAATGAACAAGGGGCTAGGCTTTATTTCGTGGCCCCTCAAGGAAGGTTCCTTGATGTTGGTGAGGGGCTCTTGATTTAGGGAATTGGATCTGTGCTCCAGTTTGTTGCCCGAAAGCCTTCCACATCCCACCCCAGGCGCTGTTATCCTCCGGTTTAGCGCTTCCCCTTGATTATAATCATAATATTAATTTATTTCGTGGGAGAAGCGGGCATTGTATTTTTTGTACTCTTCTCTTTTAGACATTATAGTGTAGTTTTCACTATAAGGTGTTTTGTTATGGTAGTTGATTGGGCATTATAGTCTTAATGTTATGGTAGTTTGTGATGTGATTTAGTTTTTTTGTATGATGGTAGGCAAGGTGAATTAATATTATGTTGTGGTAGGTATGGTGATTGTTTATGGTATGTTAACATTTGTTAATTAGTTCGCCTCTAGTATGCATGCTGGAGGTTACCTGGAGGTTATTCCGGGATCAACGCCCCGCGAGCCGTCCATGACAGGCCTCCCGATGGATCAGGGCCTGATCAACCAGGCTGTTACTGCTGGCCGCACGCAGTCCAACGTACGAGCCACAGCCCGGCTGATCCGGCACTGACTTTAGGTATCTGTCCAGCTCTCTCTTGAAGGCAGCCAGGGGTTTATTGGCAATTCCCCTAATGCTTGATGGGAGGCTGTTGAATAGTCTTGGGCCCCGGACACTTATGGTGTTTTCCCTTAGTGTACCAATGGCGCCCCTACTTTTTATTGGGGGCATTTTGCATCGCCTGCCCAGTCTTTTACTTTCGTAGGGAGTGATTTCTGTGTGCAGATTTGAGACCATTTCTTCCAAGATTTTCCAAGTGTAGATTATGATATATCTCTCCCTCCTGCGTTCCAACGAGTACAAGTCAAGTGCTTCCAAGCGTTCCCAGTAGTTAAGGTGCTTGACAGAACTTATACGTGCAGTAAAGGATCTCTGTACACTCTCTAGATATGCGATTTCACCTGCTTTGAATGGAGATGTTAATGTACAGCAGTATTCCAGCCTAGAGAAAACAAGTGATTTGAAAAGGATCATCATTGGCTTGGCATCTCTCGTTTTGAACGTTCTCATTATCCATCCTATCATTTTCTTTGCACGTGCGATCGTGGCACTGTTGTGATCCTTGAAAGTGAGATCCTCAGACATTACTACTCCCAGGTCCCTTACATTATTTTCCGCTCTATGTATGGCCAGAGTCTGTAGTATACTCTGTTCTAGTTATTATCTCCTCCAGTTTTCCATAACGGAGTAGTTGGAATTTGTCCTCATTGAACATCATATTGTTTACGTATAGACAGCTCCCTGGCTTACTGTCCCCACGACCCTGTCCCAGATCAGGCCTCCCGGTTTACGGCCTGATCAATGAGTCTGTTGGTGCTAACTGCATGCAATTAAACGTTGACACCACAACCCGGCTGCTGAAAAATTGACTTGAGGGATTTATTACTCCCCTCTTGAAGACAGCTAGGGATTTGTTGATAATTGTGGTAGGTATGGTGCCATGGTATGGTAAGATGATATAATACTATGGTATGTTAGGGAGGGTGACTTAGTGATGGAATATACCTGGAGTATATTCCATCGCTAAGTCATCCACCAGTAGTAACAGCCTGATCAATCAGGCTGTTACTGCTGGCCGCACGCAAACTGACGTACGAACCACAGTCCGGCTAGTCAGGTACTGACTTTGGGTGCCTGTCCAGTGCCTTCTTGAAGACAGTTTGGGGTGTATTGGTAATCCCCCTTATGTGTGTTGGAAGGTATGTGTCTTAATTTTGGATCCCACAGGAGAGGTATATGCGACTATGCTTTTGGGATCATCGCCCAGTAGGTGGAGTCGAACCACTCTTGACATTAGTCAGCTACAGGTTTGAAGCCTGCACCCCTGCCCAGAGGCTCAACGGGGTATTATGGAGAATCGATGCCACATTATGCTAGTGGGTAAGGGAATTTTCTCTTTGTATAACTTTGAACCACACTTTACCAGAATTCTCACCGGTGGTAATCCAGTGCATGTGTGATTGGTTATATTGACGGCCTGGAGTGGCTCTAGGGGAAGTAGGGGTTCCACCGCTGTAACGGGAGTTTGCTGTACATAATTACTTGGGATATACCCAGAATTTGTCATAAACTGGTGTAAATTTAGGGTAAGGACTTCAGTAGCTAAGTTTAATGTGCCATGCACATTCAGAGCGCGGAATCGAGATATTGGACTTAAATGTTAAGCTTTTGATGGCAGAATGTTAGGTAGGTGTATATGTGAGCTGTGCATTTGGTGTTTTGGGTCAAGTGCATGCATTTGAGTTGTGTCTGAATGATAGTTTTGAGGATGCAGCAGGATTAGGTGGAGTTGCACAGTCAATATATTACAAGGAAATATTCATTTTCGATTTCCATGCTGTACAGTCCATTATTGCGAAGACGATTTGTATATAATATATATTTTAAATATATTGGGTTACACAAATGTCCGGTGCAGCTAGATCTAGGGACATATAAGCTGCTAAATTTATTTCCCCATAAATCATTTTATCTCTGGTAGTAGTTGTGGCATGCAAAGAGTATGTAACCTTTATTCGGCGCATGTACACATCCTCATTGAAAGGCTATCTCCCTCAACCAGCGAACCAGTGCTAAGGATCGGATGATGGGGCCCCGTCGTTCGATCAGTACCCAGGTTCAAGCCAATAAGAAGATGGTTTTGGCAATCGCAGAGGTGTTGTGGGTACCACCCGCCTGTCTACCCTTGTCATTCCCATTCTAGAGCTGGTTGAAGTACGGTCTGCTCTCCAGTGGCTTCTCTTCTGCCTTGCTTACCGTGGAGTGCGCTAATACCTATTGTTGTACATAGTGTATATATAGTGTACATACTTCTGTTCTTACTTGGTGAAGGATATGTCAAAAGTTTTTCTGCTGTGTTTATTTTGCTCCCTTTACACCCAGGATAACAGGTCTTTGAATTCCTGGGTTGTAATAGTAGTAGGTTGGTAGATAGAGGTAGGACCAGTCACCCTGGGACGCTCAGCTGCATTAGCAAAGAACCAATAGCTCTAACGTCCCACATCATAAAAATCTTTGAAAGAGTGTTAAAAAGTATGATTGCAAACCACTTAGATTCCCAAAAACTGCACAATCCAGGGCAACATGGGTTCAAAGCAGGTCGCACTTGCCTCTCGCAACTACTGGATCACTATATGGTTTTGGATGCACTGGAAGAAAACAAAATGCAGATGTAATATACACAGACTTTGCAAATGCCTTTGACAAGTGCGATCATGGCGTAATAGCGCACAAGATACGTACTAAAGGAAAAACTGGCTAAGTGGGGAGATGGATCTTCAACTTTTTAACCAATCGAACACAGAGAGTAGTGGTCAACAGAGTTAAATCGGAAGCTGCCATAGTGAAAAGCTCTGTTCCACAGGCACAGTACTCGCCCCCATCCTGTTCCTCATCCTCATATCAGACATAGACAGAGATGTAATCCACAGCACTGTGGATACTAGACGATACTAGAATCTGCATGAGACTGTCATCTGTTGAGGACACGGTTAACCTCCAAGAATATACAAACCAAGTTTTCCAATGGGCATCGGAAAACAATATGATGTTCAATGAGGACAAATTCCAACTACTCCGTTATGGAAAACTGGAAGAGATAATAGCTAGAACAGAGTGTACTATAACCTGTGATCATACAATAGAGCGGAAAAATAATATGAGAGACCTGGGAGTGGTAATGTCTGAGGATCTCACTTTCAAGGATAACAACAGTGCCAAGATCACAACTGCAAAGAAAATGATAGGATGGATACTGAGAACGTTCTAAACAAGAGATGCCAAGCCAATGATGATCCTTTTCAAATCACTTGTTCTCTCTAGGACAGATTACTGCTGTACATGAACATCTCCGTTCAAAGCAGGTGAAATTGCAGATCTAGAGAGAGTACTGAGAGCCTTTACTGAACATGTAAGTTCCATCAAACACATCAACTACTGGGAACGCTTGGAAACACTTGACTTGCATTCGCTGGAAGGCAGGCGAGAGAGATATGTCATAATCTACACTTGGAAAATCCTAGAAGGAATAATCTCGAATCTAAAAACAGAAATCACTCCCTGCGAAAGTAAAAGACTGGGCAGGCGGTGCAAAATACCCCCAGTGAAAAGTAGGGGCGCCATTGGTACACTAAGAGAAAAACACCATAAGTGTCCGGGGCCCAAGACTGTTCAACAGCCTCTCACCAAGCATAAGGGGAATTACCAATAGGCTCCTGGCTGCCTTCAAGAGGGAGCTGGACAGATATTTAAAGTCGGTGCCGGATCAGCTGGGCTGTGGTTCGTAAGTTGGACTACGTGCGGCCAGCAGTATCAGCCTGGTTGATCAGGTCCTGATCCACTGGGAGGCCTGGTCGTGGACCGGGCCGCGGGGGCGTTGATCCCCAGAATACCCTCCAGGTAAGTCTAATATGCGCCTCTGTAAACTTTTGACTACCGTACTCAGGATGGCTGCGGAGGGTGACTATGACCCACAGGATAGCTGTGGAGAGTTACTATCACCCACAGGATGGTTGTGGAGGGTTACTACCACCCACAGGATGGTTGTGGAGGGTTACTGTCACCCACAGGATGGTTGTGGAGGGTTACGAACACCTACAAGATAGCTGTGGAGGGTTACTGCCACCCACAGGATGGCTGTGGAAGGTTACTACCACCCACACGATGGCTGTGGAAGGTTACTGCCACCCACAAGATAGCTGTGGAGGGTGACTACCACCTACAGGATGGCTGTAGAGAGTGACTACAACCCACACGATGGCTGTTGAGGGAGACCCCACCCACAGGATAGCTGTGGAGGATGACTACCACCCACGCGATGGATTTGTAGAGTTACTACCACCCACACGATGGCTGTGGAGGGTTACTACCACCCACACGGTGGCTGTGGAGGGTGACTACCACCCACACGATGACTGGAGAGCGACTACCACCCACAGGATGGATGTGGAGGGTGACCACCACCCACAGGATGGTTGTGGAAGTTTACTACCACCCACAGGATGGCTGTGGAGGGTTACAACCACCCACACAATAGCTGTGGAGGGTGACTACCACCCACAGGATGTCTATGGTGGGTGACTACAACCCACACGATAGCTGTGGAGGGTGTCTACCACCCATACGATGGCTGTGGAGGGTGACCACCGCCCACAGGATGGCTGTGGAAGTTTACTGCCACCCATAGGATGGCTGTGGAGGGTGACCACCGCCCACAGGATGGCTGTGGAAGTTTACTGCCACCCATAGGATGGCTGTGGAGGGTGACTACCACCCACACGATGCCTGTGGAGGGTTAATCACCTACAGGATGGTTGTGGAGGGTTACTGCCACACAGGATGACTGTGGAGGGCGACTACCACCCACACGATGGCTGTGGAAGGTTAGTATCACCCACAGAATTGTTGTGGAGGGTTACTACCCACAGGATGGTTGTGGAAGTTTGTCACCCACAGGATGGTTGTGGAGGGTTACTGCCACTCACAGGATGGCAGTGGAGGAGGGATGAGTGACTATTGTCTACAGGATAGCAGAGGGGGTAAATAATGGATATCCTAAACAAACAATACTCAATAAATGCTATGTAAACCATTCATATGGGACTTGTATACGAGTTCTAAGATATTTAAATCCTTTTTTCATATTAATGAAACAACATTTTAATAACATTAGGTTTATAATCAACAAACTTTAGAAATTAAATGCTGTAATACAGACATTAAAAGTAGTAATAGTTTTTTTTTCACTATATCCTTGAAAGTGTTTTGATCATAAATCAAGTTTATATATATATATATATTATTGTGCCCACGAACGAGTGGTATTGATCAATAACAAACATTGTGTTGTTATTGATCAATACCACTCGTTCGTGGGCACAATAATATAAAATACTGCTCGTTGTACTAGTACGCCAAACAGGGACTAGAATGAAATTAGCCTAGAGTCATCCACACCAACGTATGTCCTTTGGGTAGTGAGTACAACATCCAGTTCCGTTGGATGTGCTACTCTTAAGGATTGTGTGTCCAGTGGATTAAGGTGTCATGAGTTTTCACCCACCATGAGGCAAGCCAAAGCAGCATGGGGTTTGAGTCCTTGGCTAGTCGCAGTGTTGTTTATATATATATATATATATATATATATAATATATATATAAAATAATATATATATATATATTTATATATATATATATATATAAAACAGTATTTATTAAATAGATGAATATAAAAAAATTAAAATTATATAATTTATATAATATTTATATATATATATTATATATATATATATTTATAATATATAATTTATATATATTTATATATATATATATTTATATAGTAGTTAATATATATATTTATATATATTAATATTAGTATTTTATATTTATATATATAATATTTATATATATATATTATATTAAATAATATATAATTTATATAATATTATATATATATAATTATATTTAAGTATTTTAATATAAAATATATATTATTTTATGATTATTTAGGTATATATATATTTTACTATATATACTATGGATAATAATATTGTATATTTATATATATATATTGATATATATTATAACTCTTTTATATATATATATATATTATATATATATATTTATATATATATATATATTATATATATTTATATATATATTTATATATATTCATAATGTTATTGATAATAATAAAATTTTTATATTATCAATATCATATTATGGTATAATATTTAAAATATTTTATATATCATATATGATAAATTATATTATAATATTAATATATTATATTTTATATATATAATACTATCATTTTGATTATATATAAATATTTATATATAATTATATTT